ATGTTCATAAAAATTTAACTAATTGAAATTCAACTTAATTGATACGTAAGGGACCAAAAAAGGGGGGGGTCAAAATAGCTATTCATATTGATTAAAGGTATAGCCCATAGAGAAGGTATGGCAGTCATACCAAAAATACCAAATCACACATGACCAAATTATATGAAATAAATATTATTTAAAATGAGGATAAATTGACAGAAAGAAAAATATAGCAGGAGGCAACACAGTATCATCAGGCACAATATACACTGAGTATACAAAAACAGAGATCCAGGTTGTATTTTTGGAATATAATTAATAATTAACAATGTTGAACAGGGGCTCCTGGGTGGCTCAGTCAGTTAAGCCTCTGCCTTTGACTCAGGTCATGATCCCAGAGTCCTCGGATGGGGTGTTTTTTTGTTTTTTTTTTTAAGATTTTCTTTATTTATTTGACAGAGATCACAAGTAGGCAGAAAGACAGGTAGAGATGGGTAAGAGTAGGGGGAGCAGGCTCCCTGCTGAGTAGAAAGCCCAATGCACAGCTTGATCCCAGGACCCTGAGATCATGACCTGAGCCAAAGGCAGAGGCTTAACCCACTGAGCCACCCAAGCACCCCAAAAAATTTCAAGTTTTTAAAAGGATAAATGACTAATTTTTTTCTTTGAAGAAGCTAATATATGCCAGACTTCTGAAAAATATAACCAGAAGACAACACAAAATTCAAAATAAGAAAGGTAGACAAGGTTTTTAATATTAGAATATGATATGTGTATAATTTTCTAATTTTTTAATAAAATATATAGCTTTATAGGAAAACAAATTACCAAAACTAACTCAAGAAAAAGTAGAAAGTCTAAATAGACTTTAGTCTAAGTAAAAATGTGAAAGAATCAGAAAATGTAACCAAAACGAAACTTACAGAGCAGGACTTCAAGGCAAATAGTTTGCAGGACTTCAAGGCAAATAGTTTACTAATTCAAGGATCAGCTAACTGTCACGGTATATAATCTTTTCAGAAAATAGAAATGCTTGGAAAACAACTCAATTTACTTTGTTACCATATTATCAAATATACAAATAGACAATTTTCCCAAAACATTAATAAGTGCCTGTGTCTATTCAAATTCTAAATCAGAGAGCTATTCGAGGGGTACAGATCTGAGTGATTCCTGCTCTCAAGGAGTTCAGAGACTGGTGAGGGAAGACATATAAAATCAAATGTTATTGTTAGCAAAATCCACTGCAAGTAGTTTGGCAAACTACACAGTCTGAATGAACTTTCTAGCACAAATGTTGCATTACAGTGGTCCCAGGATAATCTTCAAAGGGCAAAAAATTTAAAAATAGAGAAATTACAACTAAAAGCAAGGGATAAGCAAGCATTAAATTTAGGATGGTAAATGATAAGTCTTGGGGCTCCTATAAGGATGTGAAGTGGGATCTGAGACTCTTCCATCAAGCTGAGATACTCTCGAGGGGTCAGAAGTTGATAGAAGCGTCTGGCCCAAAGGCGAAGCAAATGTCAATTTTCTTTGGAGGGCAACATGCTCCATTAGTTCCTCAGGGCTCCCACAGATGGTAATCAAGCATGTATTAGTTCAGAATAAAAATTCGCCAAATGAAGGCTTAAGTTTTCATGTGTGTCAGCAGAAGAACCAGACACTGGATGTAGACCACCCTAAGTTTATATTGTGTTTATCAGTTCATTCTGATTGCCAAATCCGATTTCACCATCATATAATTCATCCACTCTCTTGTCAACATGCATTTGGATTCTTTGATTTTGCTACTTTGAACAGTTTTTTTTTTTTTTTTTTAAAGACTTCATTTATTCATTGTGAGAGAGAGACAGAGAGAATGAGCGGGGGGTGGGGTGTAGAGTGGAGAGGGAGAAGCAGACTCCCCGCTGAGCTGGGAGCCTGATGTGGGTTCAATCCCAGGACCTGGAGATCATGACCTAAGCTGAAGGCAGATGCTTAACCATCTGAGCCACCCAAGTGCCCAGCTACTCTGAACAGTTCTAAGGTAAACCTTAGCGAACATGGGTCCTCATATATGTGGGCAATAATCTCCCTTAGGTAAACACCCAGAAGTGGAACTGCTGGGTCAGCATCTATGTGCATCTATCTTTAAGTTTACAAGATAATGACAACCTTTTTGTTTCAAAAATAGTTGAATGTATATTCTTACTAGCAATTTAAGAGATTTCCTGCAGCACTTGCTATTGTCACTTTGTTTTTACCGATCTAGCGAGCACGCAATTACATTTCATTGTGGTCTTGGATTGCAATTCCCTGACTGACTGACTAATCAAGCTGAACATCTCTTTTTGTACTTATTGGCCATGTTGCTCCGCTGTCTCTTGTCCACTTTTGTACTGGTTTGTTTGGACTTGGTTTCAGTTTTTGTCCAACTGTTGACCCAGTCCATTGCACTATTCTGGGACCACAGGACAAATTAAACATCCAATATTAGGAGGTCCCCAGTACAGCATGCCTGGAAACTACTGTGGCATTTGTTCACGGTGTTTGTTCTCTAAACTTGGTGTGACTTCCCCTTCTCCAATGGACCTTCAGCTCAGAACAACTACCATCTGATCTTTGAAGATAGCCCAAATCTGACAAAAATCTGTTCTGTACACCAATAGCACTTAAATCATAGGCCTCCATTAGAATAAACCACATGTGTACAACAACCCAGATGATGTTCTCCTCCCTCTCTACTTGGAAAACAGAAGCTTCTCGATAGCAGGGACTATGCTTATTTATCTCAGAATCTTCAAGAGTTAACGTAGTTGGAACAAATGAGGCATTAAATGTTCAAAAATCAAAAAAGATGACTTTGCTAATTTCAAAAGCGTCCCATTCACACTGTTAAAAGAGAGCCATTACAAAGATTTAAATTCTTTAACAAACATTTGTAGTAAGGCATTTTATTAGTCAATCAGTCAATCTCAGTTCCAATTTCAGATACATTATTGTGTTCTCAATCATGTGACCCAGTTTAGGTTTGGAAAACATGATTACTTTAGGACTGGATACTACTACCATGGGACTTACACAGACAAATATAAAGATTTCCTGTGCTCAAATAATTTGGTTACAATTTATAAGCAGCATAAAACACGAACAAAAATAGCTATGTTATAAGGGCAGATATAAATTGTATTATGCAGCCAGGAAGAATTGAGGCCATCACCAAAAATACAAGCTAAATAAATAAATAAATAAAACAACCAATTCCTTGTAAGATAAATACTTAAGGAATAGATATATTGAACTGCCATATACTTATTTCCATGCTCCACTGGGGTCCTAATCTTCATCCTTAAATTTTTAAAAGGATTTTATTTATTTATTTGAGAGAGAAAGAAAGCACAAGAGGGGAAGAGGGGCAGAGGAAGAGGGAGAAACTCCCAGCTGAGCGGGGAGCTGGATGGGGTGCTCAGTCCCAAGACCCCCAGATCATGACCTGAGCCAAAGGCAGACACTTAACCCACTGAGCCACCCAGAAATCCCCTCAATAATTTGATTCATATTAGATTAGAGATTTGATAGGTACATTATCCATCTATTCAAATTCACACTCAACAAATAGAGAGGCACAAAGGTGTGCCAGATTTTGCTCTCTTAAGTAACTTTTTGCACTTCTATTAAAGAAAGCAGAGCTTCTGGGACTCAGTGCCCTAAAAATTTAATTAATACCTGAATGACGAACACACTTCAGTCTTTATGGACTAGAGAGAAGTACTTACAACTAAAATATCAGAAAGTAGGGCCAAGAGGCCTCTGGCAGAAGCAGAGTCATAAACGGGTTAAGGTCAAAGGGTGAGGGGTCCAACAGGGTTGGGATCAAATCCTGCCTCCAGTTCGTACACCCCTGCCCCCCCCCCCCCATTATCAGTTTCCTCATCTGTAAAACAGTAATAACAATACTTCATAAATTTGCCGGAGAATCAAACGCAGTAACGGAACACAAAGTGCCAAAGCGCCTGACCCCCGATAAACGGTATAATGCCAGCCTCCGCTAAGAAACACTAGAAATGTTTCAAACTCGGTTTCAAGCTCGGTTCCCGCGGCGCCCCACGGGCCGCCCCTGCAGGTTCGCACCGCACCGGGTCCCCCTGTGTCCCGCCGCCTGGGCAAAGCGCCCTCAAACTTGGCCGTGCCTGGCTCCGGGTGCCACGCCGCCGCGCTGAATCACGGAGCAGGAAGACCCGCGACCACACAGCTGTCTGGCCCACGCCATTTGCGCGGAATTTATTAGAACGCGGCCCTCCACTCATCTCCCTCCTCCAGCCGCACCGGCAGCTCAGAAAAGGGCCTTTACTCCTAAGCCAGGACTTATCTCCCGGCTGCTACCGGGTCACACGACACTGACTCCTGAGCAGCAGCAGGATGCTGCCCCGCGCGCCTGGCCGCACTGCAGGCACCTCCGTCGTCAGCAAAGTTCGAGCACCTCTGCCAGGTACTCGGGCCGGGACGCCCACCCGCCAGGTGCTGCGCATACCCCGTAGAGCCGCGGCCGCGAGCTAGGCCCCGCCTTCGAAAGTGCCCGCGCTCTGCCGCCTCCAATAAGCGTCGGGACTCGGTCCCCGCCTATTCAGACGTCAGCAAAGAAATAAAATGCTCACACTCTGCGGCACTCCGGGGCGCCACTAGGACAGCACCTAGCACTTTCGCGCCATCCCACTCCCGCGTTCTTCGGGGACCGGTCTACCGTGGGGAGCCGCCCCCTCTGACACGCGGCCCTCCGAGCCAATCGGAGGCAGTACCAGCCAGCCCTAATTTGCATAGAAGCTTCTCTATATAGGCTCGGGAACAGAAGGCCGGGTTGCTTAGAAGCCGTTCGCTCTCACACACAGCTCTTACTGCACAAGGAACCCGAAATCAAGACGAAAGCCCAGTCTCTATGCCCCAAGCCCGCCACCCGCAGACCGGAGCCACCCGCCAGGGCAGGTCTTCCTCGGACCTTTATCCGCACCTAGGTCCCATTCACACGGTATATAAAGTGTTAGCTCTTTTCTTGACGTTCTGGGGGCCCTTAAAAGGGCCTTTATGAGTTCGAAAAGAAGCCGCAGAAACTGCTCAGCCGCCAAAGCCGTACAAGGTGCGGCCCTGGCGTTTCAGCGCGTACACCACGTCCATGGCGGTGACCGTCTTGCGCTTGGCGTGCTCGGTGTAAGTCACCGCATCGCGGATCACGTTCTCCAGAAAGACTTTCAGGACTCCCCTGGTCTCCTCATAGATGAGCCCAGAAATGCGCTTGACACCACCTCGGCGAGCGAGCCGGCGGATGGCGGGCTTCGTGATGCCCTGGATGTTATCCCGGAGAACTTTCCGGTGCCGCTTAGCGCCTCCCTTTCCCAGCCCTTTGCCACCTTTCCCGCGACCAGACATCTTCTTAGAACACGACGAAACCCAAACCTCAGAACAAGCTGCTAATGACGGTAGGCGTGGAGACCAGGGCTTATATGTCCTGGTAGCGGACCTGTTTGAAAACCTTAAGAAAATGGGCGGAGCTCTAGGCCTCAGAAGGCTTTTGTCTTTCCTCCAATGGTGAGTGAAGGAGCCTTAATCAGAACGAGACAGATTTTTGTTTGCTTTCTTGGAAATACTTTTTATTTTCGTCATAAAATTGAGGAAAGAGTCAATGGGATTTATGCTGCGTTTTTTCAGTGCTCAGTACAATCCCCTCCCTCCTTCCCATCTCCCCTCACCCCCATATCGCGCGCGCGAATTTTAATTGTTTATTTTTCAAAAGGAATGCTTCCTTTAACAATACCATTCCTAGACTAATAGGAAAATAAATAGTAACCAGAAATGCGTTACGTCTTGTTAGATTTCAAAGCAGTTGTTTTACACCTTTTCTTCTTCAGTCACTAGTGGGGGGAGAGGACATTTTAAATAATAGCTCTTTTTTTCTCTTTCGTGACGCCTCGCAAAGAAAGAATTAAAATTCTTCCAAAAAGTCTAACCTTACCCCTTCCTCCCGTCTCCCAGACTTTTCCCTTTCAGAGGTTCTTGCCTCATGTAGATTATCTGGCCTCCTCTGCGCACTCCCAACCCGGCGCATCTTTGCTTTTCAACCAAATAATTATTTCTATGGTTTTTTAGTTGAAATATCGTAAATTTCTTCTTATTGCATTCAAACCTGAGGTTCTCACATCTCCCACTTAGAAATTCAAAGTTCTTAAAATATGAGATGCCACGACGGTAGCTTTAAAAGGTGATTTGTACTGCAAATCGCCCATCAGGAGGCTCTCAATCCTTTCTTGAGAATCCCTGAACAAGAATGAAACTTTCAGTAATGTCACTGCTCTAGAACGCAGGACTCTCTTCCCAAACGGTTTATTGCAATAAAAGGTAACAATATTTAGAGGATGATTCAAAATTCTTATTTTAGTAAATTGTGCTCCCTGTCCCGAATCTTCAAAGATAAGCCTTTCCAGGAAAAGCTTTATAGTAAATATTTGTCTGTGTCTAAATGCTTATAATTTACCCATTCTTACCCATTTGCATAACACAGAAAGTACTTTTTATTGTTAAAGATAAATTAAAAGTGCCCTCAGAGGGGTGCCTGGGTCTCTCAGTCAGTAAGCCTCCCACTCTTGTTTTCAGCTAGGTCATGATCTCAGGGTCCTGAGATTGAGACCCAGCATGCCCCCCACCCCCAATCTGCTTGTCCCTCTTCACTCCCCTTCTCCTCCACTCGCACACCCACGTGCATTCTCTCTCTCTATAAAAAGTAACTCTAAAAAAAAAAAAAAACCCTTAGAATACTGTTTGTATGGCTGCAAAAATCCTGAATAGTCATATTGTACTACACGATTTTTATTTTTGACTCACAGGGAAGAAGAGAAGTCTATCAGATCTGGAAGAGATCAGGATTCTTACAATGGTAAATTAGTTGATTATATATATTAAGACTAAAAAATCAAGGTTAAAACAAAATTTTCAAGTTAGAAAACCTTTTTGCTTACAAGAATAAAAGGAAAAAGTGTCCAAAATAATAACAATAATTGTTAAAAATTTCCTTTGATATGAGCAAAAATTTAAGCAAAATTTACAAAACTTATTTCAGGAACATGTTAATAACTGCATCAGAGACTTGTATGTCCATTTATCTAGCTCATCTAGCAGTTATTGGATGCTTACTAACGTATTTAATCTTCAAAATAACACTTTGGGGTAGGCCCCGAGCTTATCCAAGGTCAGCTGGTAAATGGTAGAGCCAGGATTTGGACCATGGCGGTCCGGCTCCAGGACGACTGACTTAATCATGACAATATGCTGCTTCTCAACTCTAAAGACATTTATTGAGTTCCTACTGTATATAGATTAATCAGTGTTCTAGGCAATAAGAACATATGCGGATGTCTCTGAAAATGTGATTTCACTCAAATCAAATCTTTATTAGGATGGTGGGAGGGTAAATTTTACTTTTAAACGGATACTATAATCCACATAAAATGTCGTTTATTTTAATGTGCTTACGATACATAGCAGTGTAATTGTATAATTATGGGAAATGTTGAGGTAAGTGAAATTACATCAATGAATTAGTAAAAAATAATTTCTAATTTAAAAAGGAACTTATTTTGTTCCAAATGCTATGGCTCTGCAATTTGGGTAAGGACGGTTACTACCGTTCTTCCTCTAGTCTTTTCATGACCTCTGAGCGTCGCATGGACAGTAGAGGGCTAGAAAAAGGGACAGCTAAGTGCCACCACAATGTCACAATGTCTTATGCGACCTTGTATATACGTCTGGGCTCCCAAGTCTCAGTGGAGAACATGATCAGCAGCGTGGTGATCAATAAGGAGGAAGCCAAGGCCAAAACTTTGTGCCTCACTGCAGCCTCTCCCTGGAATCCAGAGACTCTTTTCAGGCTCATAATCTCAAAAGACAATAGATGTTAAGTTTTGGCTAAGCGACTTTGTTCCGCAGTCTGTGAAGACAGCATTCACGTCTAGTGTAGCACTCTGGTTTCACAGCCGCTGGAAGCGAAGATTGGCAACCTGTGAGCGGTGGAACTGCGTCAGGGGTCCCGTGTCATCTGGGCTGGTTAAGAAAGTTCAGACGGCCAGATCAGGCCCAGGCATCTTTTGGAGCCAGCTCCCCACACTGCTGAGTAAGAGCAGACGCATCTGGGTTTGCAGGAGACAAGACGCTTGTTTAAAGAAACGGCAGGCCGAGAGATATGTGTGTCTGCAGTCAGACAGGCTGGCTAGGATGCTATATAATGTGAGAAAACCCACCTGGGGGACACAGCACCCTAGGGATCACCTTGGACCTCAACTGCTTGAGGCATTTCTTGCTTGAGTGCTTTGTACTTGTACCTGGTAGCTCTCCCGGATTTTTCTGTTTCTAACCGTGGTTCCTTAATTCTTAAGACGGTCTTTTCCTAGGAGCGAACTTGAACGTTGAAATATCAGGAGCCAATCAATTCAACGGAAGCCCCAAATGCGGAGCGGTCGGGCCTGGGTATTCATATGAGAGGCTATGTAAATGAGGGCTAGGAGTTTGCTCTTTTGACTGGACAGAGCTGGAAAAGGCGGGCCCTCTGCCGGAGCGCTGGTTGGAAGCGGAGCCTGCCTGTCATTGGTCACGAATACGTCGCTGCGCCCAATGGGAAGGCGCTGCCTAGTGTCAGCAAAGTGATAGAAGCAGTTCCGGTGTTGGTACATTACATTCACTTATTCGGACCTGGTTGCTGTGTTTTTCCTCTCGCAGGAGTTTTAGGCGAGAGGTAACCATGTCTGGTCGCGGAAAGCAGGGCGGCAAAGTGCGGGCCAAGGCCAAGTCTCGATCCTCCCGCGCGGGCCTGCAGTTCCCGGTGGGCCGAGTTCACAGACTGCTGCGCAAAGGTAACTACGCGGAGCGAGTGGGCGCTGGGGCGCCCGTGTACCTGGCGGCGGTGTTGGAGTACCTGACCGCCGAGATCCTGGAGTTGGCTGGCAATGCCGCTCGTGACAACAAGAAGACCAGGATAATCCCGCGCCACCTGCAACTCGCCATCCGCAACGACGAGGAGCTCAACAAGCTGCTGGGGAAAGTCACCATTGCTCAGGGCGGTGTCCTGCCCAACATCCAGGCCGTGCTGTTGCCCAAGAAGACGGAGAGTCAGAAGGCGAAGAGCAAGTGACCCTGATGCCACCGCCACAGGGGAGCTGGCTTCCCCAGCAAAGGCTCTTTCCATAGCCACCCCGCAGTATTTTTCAATATACTCGATGTCATGGGAGTCTGCGGCGATCTAGTGGGGAGGTGGGTGGCGAGGGGCCCGCCGAGTCCGGGGCCAATAAAGTCGGTGAAAATCATGTGGTCGAGAGAGCTATGTAGTCTCGGGGACCTTCCGGATAACCCGGGGGGCAGCCAGGAGACCTCTGGAGCAGGTACTGGGGGGTTGGTTTCTGCCGCTTTGTGGACTACTTTGGTCAGCACCCTCGAGGTGTTTTGTGGGTGGGGCGAGGGAGACCACGAGGACCCCACTGGCTGGAGGTGGGCAGAGTTGGGATCTCTCCCTGCTTGCCTTAATGCAAAAGAGAGGCAGAATTGGGTGCAGGGGCATCAGGGGGATTATTTTTATGTCATTCCCAGGGCCTTCACTCTCCTGTCTTGTCTGGGCAGTTCAGGAGGACCCAGTTGTGCAGAAGCGGTGGGGGCCAGCTGGTGTCACGCAGGAAGTTGGCTCTTTGGCCGTACTTTTCGAAGGTGGAGTAACTTTCCGTCTTGGAAGAGTGCTTCTGATGACACAGGGCCAACATATTTTTCTTAGCCCAATAGCCGTTGTGTTTTCAGGTTTTGGATATCAGATATTTTTGTATACACACTTATGTTCACATTTCTTTAAAATGAAGGGAACACCCAGTAATATGTGTAATACAGAAGCATGAGTCAGGAGTAAATTTGTTCCCTGACACTCATGTTGCGTAACAGTGCAGTGTCTTTAGTCATGAGTTACATGCTTAGGAGCCGTTAAGACAATTTTCTCAAGATGGTTCTGTCTCCGTCATATGGTATTCCTTTGTAATTGTAATCAGTTTGATTTTGCTTCCTAACAACAAATAACCTGCTTGAAGTCTCTTCATGTTCCTTCCCCCACTAAAGTCCGGTAGGGGTCACATTGCTTGATTGTACAGCAGCACTTTAATAAACATGAAATGTGAGAATATGTAAGGATTAATTACCTAAGTGCCAGAAGTAACACATTTCGGATCCAGAATCCACATTTAAAAGTTAAACAGTAGCCATCCTATTCTGTCCTTAATTGACCCTTCCATTTCACCCTTTTCCACAAGCTTCATCCTGGCCCACAGGGCCCACAGCACAGATCCCAGTTCAGATATCACATCTTCGGAGTCATCTTTCCTATGAGTCAGAGTTGAAGTCTTCCTGAAAAA